CCCTCTCTCCCTTGGCTCCTGCAGGCTTTATCATCTACTTTTCCTACGGAATATGGCACAGCGTGGAGGCTGCGTACGCAGCATCAGCAGACACAGAGAGAAGCATGGACACTGCCTCAGACAGCTGCAAATGACCACGTGTGTAGCTCGTGGGCGACCGGGGACCGCTGCAGCGAAGGCAGCTGTGCCATGGGGCTCCTGAAGTGTTGCATGTGGTTAATCAGTACTGCAGCAAGAAAGAAGCACAGTGTGGGAATCCCCAGGCCTGTTGCTGCAGCTTGCAGTTTGCTTAGTCGCGCAGTTAAAAGGGATCACAAGGAAAAAAAGCTGCTCCCAGCAATGCTGTTAGCTGGTCTGGGGCCATGCACTCTCCCTCCTCCCTCCCGTTGTTTTGTTTTGTTTTGTTTTTCAGTGTCTAGAAAGAAAACTGCTTCTGTGTGCCAGTTAACCTGAAATGCTGCTATGAAACAGGCCTCGCAGAGGTCCTTCTTTCAGTAGCCCTGGGAATGACCCCCCCACAGATATTCTACCTGATATATACAGAGCACATCTGCAGTGCTATTGTCATGCTTAGATCAGACACTTCCTTCACCTGATGTGAGCTGCACCACCTTTGTACGTACAAAGAAAAGGCTCTCGGCAAACGTGAGCTTTCACCTGGTTAAGAAAGCACCTGCAAGATTTATGTTCTTCAGAGCATCAGGTTTCATAGTTTTTATTGCATTTAACTTTTAACTCGGCATTCATGTACTTTAAAACACTGCTACTGTGAAATGTCGGGAGGTTTATTGTCGGTTGAATGGTCGTTTGGCAGGGTGCAGATAATGAAATGGATGTTCCTGCTAACTGTAGACTCAGCAGAGGGATTTGGGGTTTAGTCATAGAAATATCTGGTGCAAGTACTTGAATGTCTTTAAGGGCAGAGGTGTCTCCAAAGAGCCTTCTACCTCTTCACGTCAGAGCTGACCAGCAGTGGGGCTGAACCGGTGGGGTGGCAGAAATGCTCTTGAGCCCAGCTCTGAAAATGTGTTTGGTTGGAAGTTAGAGGAGCTCCCTCGGTGTGGGCTGTGTGAATAGTAGAATAAAGCATCTGGCTGTGAGCATTTGGCATCAGGGTGAAGCATGTTTCTGTCCCTGGAAGGAGGAACACAGGAAGAGTCTCAAGGGATTGAACTTCATTTGTGAGCAGCACTTGAGTCGGTGCCTCGTGCCTGGTGGGACATGAGGATGTTGTAGGGTTTTCTCCTTTCCAGTGGTCCCATCAGAGCAGGGGGCAACACTAGGGGGCTGGCTTGCTGAGAGTTTACCTTGCAGGCTGCTCAACTGCTTAACACAGGCCTGAGCAGGGCTGTAAATGTGCTGAGCCCCTGCTCTGAGTGCTGCCCACCCACCTGTGCAGCAGTGTGTGCTCTTGCTACAACACGTGCTCCTGTGGGGCCAGAGATGCTTGTGCTGCCCACACTGCATGTCCTGGGCCATGGGAATTCTCTATCTTTGGATGTGCTGGGAATGAGGTTGGATGGGGCTTTGAGCAAACAGATCTGGTGCAAGATGTCCCTGCCCAGCCCAAGCCATTCTATGATTCTGTGAAGTTCTAAGAGGTGAGACCAAAGACTGTGTTAAGTTGGCAACACAGGCGTGGCCTTGGCTTTGCTGAAAGGCAGTTTCAAAAAAGATTCTCCCAAATATCTCCCCAGCCAAATTCCCTGCCCTAAAAAAGGCTTGTGGAAGCATTCAAAAGGTGGGTTGTGCCCACGCAACACCATTATTTAAATGTGCTGAATAACAAATCCCAAACAGATACTGCAGAAATCCTCTCTCCTAACCTGTGCAGGGGTTGCTCCACACTGCTGCCTCCGGCACCTGGAGCAGTTGGTCTGTTGGCCATCATAACTCGTGCTGCTGAGGGGATGGGCACCCGACCCCATCATACTGGTGTGGACTGAGGAACAGGCTCCGTATGGCTTAACCAGCAGAAGGGAGAACCAGACCATCTCCCTCAGTCATATTGTGGTGGGTCGTGTCTTGCAGCTTTCCAGCACAGCCTTTCTGCCTGCTAGGAGTTCCAGTCTTGGCCTTCTGGCAAACTGGGAGGCTCTTCTCAGGGCTGGAGCTGGGTGGAGGGAATGTGCTCTGGGTGTATTTTCAGGGTGCTTTCAGGACCCTTGACCATCTGCCAGTCCTCTTTTCCTTGCACACATATGAAGTCTTACTCAAGCAGGGAGAGAAGAGTATCAAAACCCAGGAGGTTGAGCCCTATTTTGATTTAAACGTGGGCAAAAACTCAGTGTGTGCCAAAACCTCCTGGAAAGCACTGAGGATGTGAGAGGATGGGGAAAAAATGGGAAATGGGAATGCAGAGGGTGTGGATATTTCCCATTGTACCAAGAATGTAAGGACCTTTGCCTTGGGTACCAACTCTGAGCAATTTAGACGTTCAGCACTGACTATATGAGGCTGAATTCTGATGGAAGTATATTTCCAAAGAAAATTATCTAAAAATATGCAGATTTCTTGCTGTAATTTTTTTTTTAATATAAATGTTAACTTATTTTTGTTGTCTTCTTAGGGATCTGTTCTGGTATTTATATCCCATAACTTTATTTCAGCTTTTGTGGCGTATAATATCAGCACTTGGGAGAAAGGGGAAGTCTGGATCGGGTTCATTTTCCTGTCATTTCCTTTTCTCCCAGAAGGTTTCATAGGAAAATCCTTCTGTTTCGCCACGCTCTGTGTTCCAGTGTTCCAATGTGCCATGGCCTGTGCCAGCCCTGGGGAAGCCCCCGTGCCAGGCTGTGTGTGGGGACGCAATGACTCGGTCACTGCTGCCTGCTCTGCCCTGCCCTCACTGCTGCATCCCCGCCCCGCTTGGATTTGCAAGCTGTAAGGTAGAAATTTGGCTGCCTGTTTCTGGGGTGGTGTTTTCAAATGGGTGATTTTTTATTATTTTTTTAAATTTTCTTTTTTCTTTTTTTTTTTTTTTTGGTCTCTGCGTCCCTGCTGATGTCTGCATGTCCCATAGGTCACTCCAGGTATCTTTGGGGACACGCAACTGCTGCTATCACCTCGCTCTTGTGAACAAGATGCTTCTCTTGCATCGAGCTCATCTTTGTAAATAGTTCCACAGTTATTTTGCTTTATTATTATATTTTGTACAGATGCATTTTACTGGATGGAGGGGTGGGAACAGAGAAGTGCTGCCTCTGCTCGGTGCCAGAGCAGACCCTTTTGTGTCAGTGCCATGACTCTGCCCATGGGGCAGCCTCAACTGGGGCGGCCAACGTGGAGAGGAGCTCACTGGAGAGGAGCCACCAGCACGTGGCCAGGCAGCCTTTCTCAAAGGCTGTTACAGCAGCGCCCTTCTCACCACGAAGGTGCAAAAATCACAGAATCATGACTAGCTTTTGCATACTTCCTTACAAACATCATCCTTTGGTTGCTGAAAATCATTGCCGCGTGGGTTCTGGCTTCATTTCCTATTTCTCTCATCCCTCGGGGTGCTGTTCGCCATCGTCTTGCATGGCTGTGTGGGGATCACCAGGCCCTGGTGTGGGACAGGGAGCAGAGCCTCGAGCCTCGTGGGTGTGTAAGGGCAGGGTTTTGGGGGGGCTCAGAACAGGGGCACTCAGCAGTGCTCCCCCTGGGCCAAACCAAACCCCTGTGGCAGTGGGCGGTGCTGCAGGCTCCTTCCATTCCTATTGCCTTGGAGACAAAGCACTGTTAGGGGGAATCATAGTTTGTAAGATCAACTCTTTAGTGGTGCTGTTTTAAACAGTTCCACTGGGATCTCTCAAATTCCTCCTGGCACAATTTGCACCCCAGGAAACCACCCACAGTGGAGCACTGCTACCATCTGCCCAAGTGATGGCCGAAGGCCGCCCTGCACGCCTGCATCTCCACCCCATCCCTGCCCGTGGGGCCGTTCCCTCTCTCTGTCTGAGCCCCCACCCGGCAGGGCATGGAGGCGGCACCTCCTGGGATGCTCTCAGGGAATTTGCCCCCAGGCTGAGCCGTGCCCTCAAGTGCTCCACTGAGCAACGGTGAGCGCGGCCAGCAAAGCGACTTTACGGACTGAAGCCATGGAAGTCTGTATAGTGTTTATTTTTTAATTACTAAGCGCAATGTATATACCTTTCTGTTGACGGTCTATTTTCCTAATGGTTTCTCAGAGTTTCTTACAGGCGTGTTAAATAGTTTTGATGCTTGTTCTGCAGACAGATCTATTTTTTATCTTTTTTACCTTTCTTTCGGTTGGATTTCTTTTTTCCGTGTCCGTGCAGCGCTTGAAGCCTTACGTTTTGAAATGTGAACCTCGCCCTCCCCGCGCGTGTGCACAGCTCCCTTTTGTCCTGGTGCCACTGTAAATACTTCACCACCAAATGAAGCTGTTGGCAATTCAGTTCTCGTTAAGTGGTACAGCATTAAAGCATTTTTCTCAGTACTCAAATAAACCATGCCTGTTGTTTGCCCTTATTTTTGAGCCTGTCTCCGTCCTCCAGCTATCTGTAGTGCCTGCAGGCTGCGCAGGAGGGCACTGCCCTGAGGTGCAGCCCCTGGTGCTGCCACGTGTGTTTGGAAATAGGGGCTGTGCACCAGCACGTTCTGCCTGGGAGGGTTTCAGGGTTGGGATGAGCCCACGGGGAGGCATTGCAAGCCTCAATGGGGCACTGTGCTTTCAGCCCCCCTCGTGTTGGGAGGATGCCAGGAAGAGCCCCAGCTCAGTGTCCTAGAGGTGCCTCAGACCAGACACCTGAGAAGTGCCCTCACCCAGGGTAGTGCTGTGTCGCAGTGGGGATGTGCTGGTCTGTGAGCCTCGTTTTTCTCTGTGGGATTTGGAGCTAATGCACAGCACGTGAGCTGTGCTAACCCCACTCAGCTGCTCCCTGCCAGGAAGCCCCATTCCTTACCGCACTGCCACGGGATTTCGCTCTGCCTTCCATTCATGCCAGTGTCTGTACGTCTGTGTACGCAGAAAACACAGCAGGACACCCCAGTTTTTGTGCGCCCACCCACGCTGTGTGCTGGCGCCTGTATTTATTATCAGGAATATATTACACTTATCTGTACATCAGAACTGAAATAATACAAACTTCCTGTACTCATTAGCCACAGAGTGAACCGGACCACACCTGCTGTGTGGGAACTGTACAGGGGCTCCTTGGCGTGTCCATGGGACACAAGCGATCAGTGCAGAGACGGAACATACCTGATTTGCACCCGTTAGCGTCAGCTTTCTTCCCCACCACCGTCACCAGCAGCAGCTTTTGCTGCTGTGCCATCCCCAGGGCCCCGCAGTGGGATGCGCCAAGGCCTCAGTGCTCAAGCTGCAAACGTTTGGTAACTCCAAGCTGCTGCCAGAGGGATGAGGGGTGAGTGAACCCCTGCTCTGCCCACCCCCGGTCCCTATGGGGAGGGCCAGGCACCTGTGGGCGCCCTGTCCTCAAGGGAGATGTGCCAGCATCACTGAGCAGGGGAGCCAGCACTGGGGCCAGCCCATGGTGGGCATCCATGGCAAAAGAAAGGAATGATTTTTGGGGGGACGGAACTCCCTGGTTCTGGGCTCAGGAGGTACCTGTGGCATCCCCCAGGAAGGTTTGCTGGACCGGGGCACCTCCCCACCAGGCTCTGAGCTTTGCCAGTGATTTGGAGGTCCCACCAAGGAAGCATTCAGTGACAGGCAGGCTTGGGAGGCAACAGTTCCATGGAGAAGAGGCTGGCAATGACACCAAGTGATGGCAGAACTAGGGCTGGTCCAATGTTTTCCCAGCATTGAAGCCCCACTCTCAATTCACTGCTGGAAGCAATTATTGAATACGAATTTAATTCAAAAATGGGAGTAGGAAAGCACCAGAAATAGAGGAAAACAATGAAGAAATGAAGGCCAGGCTTGGCCAGCCCATCCCAGGCTGATAATATGCTCCAGTGTGTTCAACGTGGGGAAGCTGAGATCAGATCACGGTAACAATTCTGACTTTGTCATCTCATCAGAACTGCATTGGCAGACTGAAGCACAACACTGGAGGTACTGCAGCTTTCTGTGCATGCAGTAGGTCTGAGGGTGGTTATGTTGTACTGGTGAGGAGGGCCTTTGTGTGTGCACCTATTAGAATAGGCTGTAATTCCAGGCTGTACTTGCTGGGCACACCACCACCTAGCAACATGTTTCAACGGCAGCTGCTGTGCTAAGGTCTATCCTAACAAGATGCTCGAGTCACTCAGCATCACATGCAAAAGCTGCTACAAAAGTAAATTTCTCAAGAAAAGGAGAATAAAACCCAACATTGCTATTATTTTTATAGCACTGCAGAAGGACGAGGAATGTACTGGCAGTGACCAAATCTGTTTCTGAGCTGCAGAGGTCATCCTGAGAGCGTTCCAGCAAAGCCGGGCGCGGATCCCACACACACTTTGCAATGTTGGGTAAAATACAGTGGTGTGAGACGTGGGTAGGTATGGAATATTCTGACCTCTTCTGCGCCCATGCAGCCCTCTGTATCACGCCTGGTGTTCCACCAGCTCAGCCTAATGCTGGGTCAGCAAAGGTCTGAACACAAAGGGTTGGTTTGCTTCTCCTTTCTCGTGGGACTTGAAACATATCAACCTGAACAGAACCCTACACCCAGAGGTTCTGACTTTTAAAATTAGGTTAAGGGGAAACAAGACAAAAGTAATCTAGGAGCTAAAGAGTCTAAAATTGAAACACATTACCCAGTAACCTCTATCATATTGACTAAAACTCAGGTTTCTCATCTCTACCCTATCCCCACTCGCTTACAACATCAATGCTAAGAGCTAAAAGCAGTGGATGGTTTGTGTTTCTCATCTGGTGCTCAATGCAAAGGTGGTTTCTCAAGGCAGTACTGTCTCAGAATGCCAAAGTCGCTGGTGTTAAGGATTGTACCACTTGGTGGTCACTTGGAAGGCGCTTCTATTTCTGTGGGACTTCCTTCTGGTTGGGGTATAAATGTTGCTGGGAGGCGCAACAGAAATGCGTTTTGTTTTGATACAAGGCTTAGGCACGAGTTAGAAAACCGCTGACTGTAATGAAAATAGATCAGCACTTAGTGGTATCCAAGAGTATAAAAAAATGCAATTCAGAACGTCTTCAACTACATACATATGTGTGTGCGTCTATATATAGGTATAAAGGTACAGTACATACATATATATAAACACAGACACATACACAGAAATATTCACAACTGGAACTCTATTTGAGACTAACCTGAAGTACTGCAGCAGCAGTCCATCCCAACGAACCTGTAATATAGCATTTTCCAACAGCTGGCTCTAACAACAGTGAAATTATTATCATACTAAGCTAAACCTACCTTTCTAGCTATCCTACCTTGCTAGCCTACCTTTCTGCTATCCTAACTTATCACTATCCTCCCTGCTATTGTAATGAACGTGTCAAAACCATGAGCTCCTATCTAAGGTTTCTCGGAGAGCCCTGCCTAGTGTGAAGCTATGCAGCCAGGGAGCATGCTTGCAGCCACGAGCCTGGCACCTGCTGATGGTGGGGCTTCCTTGGGTGTGAGGTTCAGCAGCTGCAAACATGCCCGAGGCAGGGGGCCGTGATGGATCACCGTCGCACGGTTCTGGCTTTGGCTGGCGAGGAGTTCCCTGCAGAGCAGCGATAAAATGATGTGGATGATGCTCGGGGGGTTTTCACAGGGCTGACGGCGTCTCCTGCCTGCAGTTTCCAGAGCAGCTCCTCGTTTGTTCTGCTCAGCCGCTTCTTCTCCTCCACCTCTTTCTCGACATGTTCCTGGAGATTGGCGTTCTCCTCCGACAGTTGCCTGGGGAGGGAAGCCAGCACATGAGGCTCACCAGGATGGAGGAGGCACAGAAGCACGAGAGGCAGCGAAGCAGGAGGCCACCTACCTCCCTCCACACCACCCTACCTCATCCCTAGGACTGCAGCTGGGACACAGCTGTTCAGGTACTTGGCTTGGGGATGTGGGTACACCCAGAGGCTTCAGGCATCCTCTTCTCATCACTATCTGCTCAGGGCTGGGTTGGTTTCAGCCCCAAGAGCCCTAAGTGAAACTTCTTGGATCATTCTCCCCCCGTTCAGCACATGGGGTTGCAAGTGCCCAGCATGGTGCTGTGTGCCCTGTTTGCAGAATTTGTTCACTGGTGCAGCAGTTCCTACCTGGGATTGTGCCCCTTAGCCTCAGAGGTTCCAAACCCACCCCTGAAGTGAAGGCCAGGGCCCCAGGTTATTAGACACCTGTGCTTCCCAACCACCTTTGCCCAGAGGTACACCATCACCCAGAGGCGCTTGTTGAGCTGCTCCATCTCCTCCACAGCGGTGGAGAATGTTGGTTTTAGGCATTTTTCTGTGTAATGAGGGACAAAATTCTGTTGTCAACTCCAGTGGCAGCCGTAAGTCTCACCTTTGCTTCTCAACCCTGCCACCAAATCTGAGCCACGAGGAACAGCAATTGTGAGGTGGCAGAGCACAAGCAAAGAGGTGAGTGCCACTGCACCCGACTCTTCCACCCATCCAGTTGCTGCAGTGTGCAAGGGGAAAGGAGTCTGTGCTCTGTGCTCCCTTGTTCAGATGATGCTCTGCTCCATAAATGCCCTGTGAGCCTTTGGGTCCTGACCATCCTGACCCTCCATTCCTGGCTGCAGCATCAGGGAAGCTCCCCACAACCCACTGGCTGCTTCAAGGGTGGGATGGAGCAATCTGTAGGCACCAAACCTCGTAAGTCTGCTTGCCTCTAGCCAGGTGGCTGTGCTAAAGGAAATGGGACAGTCCAGGCAGATGGTGGGACTGATGCATGTGCAACTTGGTCACGTTCTGGGAGCATCGTCTGGTTTCTGCATCCCCACTGTGCTTGGGCAGGAGCCTGGTCCTGGGGCAAGCCAACAGGGGCCTCAGGGCATCTACCTGGCCCAATTAAACCAGCTGAAGAGTTTTTAGAAATAAAACCTGACCCACAAACACAACCACCCATCATGTATTTCCAGGGCTCTGGCAGCTGAGGATTTCTGCTTCTTTGGCCAAGTTTCTTACAGCAGTGGAGCTAAGTTGATTGTGCATGTATGTCTGCTTTTCTCCTCTTCCTCTGTCAATTTTGAGCCACAAAGCAGCATTTGCAGAGTCAGAGGATTTAAAGATATGGGCTGGTAGATTTTGGAAAGCTGCTTGCCCAGTAGTGGAGAAAGATCCTATTCACAATCCCATTAAAGAAACAGCTGTGGTGCGAGCTCACAGTCCAAACAGTGTGAGAAAGTCTGCAGGGAGCACACCCTGGAGAAATAACTGTATAGGAAAGCTTTGCAACACATGGAATTACTTCTTCTTTTGCAGTGCCCAACAAGACAGACCATAAAAATTATACCCAAAGCCCCACTACAACCTTTTCTAACCAGCATTTTCAGAGGAAAAAAAAAAATAAAATAGGCTCACCAGCCCAAAAGCAGATGTCTCTGTTGACAAGGAACCTTGTCACTCCAGTCAGATTGTTAGTACAAACAACAACAAAACCAAAGGTAACCCTGCTTGGGTGATGGCAGCACTGTTAGGCTGTCCCTGTGAAACCGCTTTTCCCACCCTCACCAACATGTTTTGTGGCACTGACTCTGGGATCAGAAGCAATTGGCAACTTAGGACTTAGCAGCACATCAAAACCATGAAAATAATTTCTTATAGATATGTGATTTTCCTCATGTTAAACAAACCCTGATATACAAATGATTTGTTGATAGAACAGGCAGAGCAGGACCATGCACTTTCAAGAGGAAATACACTTAATTCTTCTCTTTCTGAAATAAGTGTCAGCCTTGGGCAGTTAAAATTTGCAGCCTCTCTGTAAGCTCAGATAGAGTACAAGTATCTCTGCAAACCTTGTTATGACGGTGTTCTGCTCAATCCTGGCTCTGAGTTCTTCGTTCTGCTGTTGCAGCACAGTGATTTTTTCTTCCAGGATTAAATTTTTCTCAGCCTGCAACAAAATGAGTTTCTTTGTTTTTTTCAGTCTGAAGAAATCCCGAAGCCTACTCCATGAAGATTGGTTCTTTATTTGACCCCAGAGCAACTTCTGAAATCTGAAAATGGTTGGAGGTGGTCATCTTGACTGCAGCTGAGGCTTAGAGGAGTGACTCACCCCATTCATTCTGGTGAAGATGTGGCCAGCAGCAGGGATAACTTTGTAGAATCACAGAACCACAGAACCATTAAGGTTGGAAAGGATCTCTAAGACACTAAGACTACCCAGTCCAACCATCAGCCCATCCCCCCCACGCTCACTAACCATGTCCCTCTCTGCCACATCTCCATGGTTCTTGAATACCTCTGGGGACAGTGACTCCACCACCTCCCCTGGGCAGCCTGTTCCAACAAAGCGACAAGAGAAGAGGCCAACTCCCACCTCCTCTTCTCCAGACTAACCAATCCCAGTTCCCTCACCTGCTCCACACCAGACTTAAGCTCCAGACCCTTCACATCTTTGTTGCCCTCCTCTGGAGACACTCCAGAGCCTCCAAGTCCTTCTTGAGGGGCCCAGAAATGAACACGATACTTGAGGTAACTGAACACAGCATCAAGGGAGGCAGAACTGAAATAATAGTCCTTTTTTTCCTAACTGAGGAGCAGGAGGGTCCCAGTCTTGGCCAGCACAAATAAAACATAATCCCCTGCGGTGTCCCTTGCAGACACATCTCTCTGCTGCTGGCAGTGGCAGCTACAATTAGGTGAAATGGATCCCGCCCCAAGCACAAGTGGTTTTTACTAAGGACAGCCCAAGGACAGAGTTGGAGGATGTCACCAGCAGTGTATTACATCCCTAATATGGTTAGAGGCATGCACTACAGCCTCAGATGCTCTGTTTTTCCCAGGTTTTGAATCTGACGTGCTTTATCACCTTAGTTCTTGCTTTTTTCCAGCAGTTTGAATGTTGCTGAATTCAACACTTTCGGAAGAAGACAAGATATCGCAAGGGAACCTTATCTCTGTGTGAGCTTGGTTATTGAACTTTCCAATCTTTTAGAGAGAATCAAAATACTGTGCACTCAATAAGTCACACTTTATGGTGGAGGCATCAGATTTAAGCAGTGACCACCAACCAATGCAGGTAGCTGTAAAGGATGCTGCTGATTTGGTGATATTCTGGCTCACCATAGTACATTTTATTAGAACAGATTCTGGTCCCATTTTGAAATACTTCAAGAGAGGAATCAGTGTCACAGCACCTTCACTGCTCCCCTAACCTCGATGGTTTTAATAAGTGGTAGCTGTGCCAACACAAAGCATAGGAGAGCTGCATCTCCTTCCCTCCTGAGTGCAACCTTCACTCTCTGTCACCCTTTTCCTAATGCCCTCATTTCCAGTAGGCAAGGAACCAAGCGTGCCCTTATGTTCTCTGCACGTGCCAGCTGTCTGCCCAGCTTCAGCAGTGTCTCCTAGCCCACCAAATGTGGCCATCCCCACCATGCCCTGTGCTACCACTCATGGCTACTGCTGCATCTCTTTCAGTCTGTGCTGACCTCAGCTGAAATACAGAGCAGGGAGAGAGCCTCAGGACCTCTATGATGGTCTACAATCCTGACAGCACATGCTCGTAGAAGCACAGAATGGATTAGGTTGGAAGGCACCATAAAGATCATCCAGTTCCAACCCCTCTGCTGTGCCAGGGCAGCCAAACGGGTAAGTTTATTCTGGCAGGCCATCAGCCTTATCCAATTCTGCTCTCTTCAGGGCAGCCTTTTCAGGATCCTGTCACCCACCTGACCGTGTGTTTTCAATGCCTATCTGCTTCCTATGAGGCACCCATCTCTCAGAGCCTTTGGAGATGCTCTGAGGTGTGTCTGGCACATATAGAGGCAGATGTTTAAACAGAAAGCAGTTGTGCACTTGGATCACTGTAGCCTTAGTGTTTTACTGTGATAAAGGGCAGGAGCTGTATGCTGTATGTGTGCTGTATGTGGTTAATTAGCAAAAGCAGCTAAATGACTACTAAATGCTGGCTTTTTTATTTTCCAATATAACTCTACAGTGCATGTTTTCACATTCTGGCTCTGCTTCAGGAGCAGTATATTGGAAGGAGCAAAGTTAACAAATCTCAGCTGTAAGGAGACATTTTTCTCTACATCCACTGATTCAAGCATCTGTTCAGCAAAATAATCATCTGAGTTCTCAAATTTCCCCGTAAATGGAAACAAATCTTGCTGAATGCTGTGCTGAACCAGCTGTCCCAGCTTCCCAGCTGAGGTAATGCCTCATCCTGTCACCATACTACACATTCACTGTCACTGTAGGTTATTCCTCAGAAAATGAATCCCCTTTCCAATAAAAAGTGCAACTGATGATGAACCAGAGAGTTCTTCATCAGAGATCCCCACAAGCAAAGGATGAGAAAACAGTGTAAGCTGCAGAAAAGCATTACCTCAGAGAGCTCTACTAGAGTGATTTTTGCTAGGGACTGCTAGCTGAATATTGCTAATTCACCAGCAGCAGCAGGACACAAATGGCTCAGTTTTCCCCTCTTTGCCCTTCCCAGTCCTAAATGGCACCTGGCTCTTGCAGGGTGCTGTAACAACATTATGCCCTGGAAGACCACAATGCTCCCCTTCTTCTATTCTTCCTATGCCCCTCACCTCATAATCTAATGCACAGGCTGAGCAGGTAGCCACATATAAAAGCAATACAGGCCAAGAGATGTGTGGAAGAAGTCCAAGTGTCATGGGTAGGTGAAGGGGAGGGAAAAGATCCCAATTTCCGAGTGAAAATCTGAGACGTTACAGTAGAAGAAGCTATGTGCTTGGCTGTGGAAGAGCACAATAGGCAGCCATTCATGAACCTCCTTAACTGCGTCTTTCCCAACGTGTTTTCCTCTCCCCCCTTTTTAAATTCACCTGCTGTAACCAAACTTTTACTTTTCTACCTCTGTGATGTCTCCTCCAAAAGAAAAAATGACAACTCACTTGTTTTTCTAGCTCCATAATCCTCTTATCCTGTTCATGAATCTGATGGTTCTTCAATTCCAGAACATGTTTTAAGCTCTTCAGATCTTCTTCTAAGTGCAGGTAAGGAGCTTGCGCAATCTAGGAAACATGCCAGCATTTTGTCTATGTCAGCCATCAGTGCATCTTCAGCCACGAGGTAAAGTTTTCCAGTCTACCAATGGTTTAGGATTCTTAGTGCTGAGAAAGGCAGACGGAGGTGAGCCTCCCCAGCTGATCTGAACCCTGATATTCTCTCCTGGAACATCCTTTTATCTGGGCAGCCACTGATACCTTTCTTTTGACCAGCTCTGTAGCTAGACGGATGGGATGCTGCTGATTCATGGTTTTCTGGATTTCTGTGCCTGTAACTCACACCAGTGAGCTGTCTTGGAGTAACAGGCATTGACATCATAGTGACACAGCAGAATTTGTGCTGCCATTATGTTAATTAAGTACTGCAGCAGGCATGGAAGGCACTGACACTACTTGTTTCCATGGCCAAGGCAGTTTCAGACACTTGTGCTCCTTTTCTAAGGAGTTTTCCCATCTGAAAGCTTCTAGATGCCCTCACTCAACCCTACTATGTCCACTCCCTGTCCCCCTCTGTCTCATCCATGGGGCTGTGCTGTGAACATGCTGAAATGATCCAAATTTAATAAATGTCTTTAGAGAAGTTCATTTTGGTGTTATTTCATTTCAGATAAATAGTTGCAGCAAGCATTCACTTGCACACTGTAAGCTAACAGCTTGGCTGCAGTAGACAGCAGTTGGATAAATATTTAATGATGTGACAGGTCTGTCCACATAAGCCCAGGAAAAAAATGAGGGAATACATGGAACATCACAGAAGTAGGCTCAGAATGTGAATAGAATAAATGTGAAAAGATAAAAAGTAAAGTGAAAGAGAAGAAAAAGACAAACACAACAAAAAGGACATACGAGGTAGAGTTCAGGGAATGTTTTGGAAACAGAGCTACATATGCTGGGTGAAAGAATAGAGGACAGAAGAAGACAATGGACAATGGCCCTGTGCTGAGGTGCATCCAGGACAAGGCTATCAATGCTGACTTATCCATAGTGTTCAAGATTCAGGGTCCTGGTGGAGGCATGAGCCCCAGTCCCTGCTGTAGGATCCTATTGCTAACACTGATGGGTGCCAAACACAAAAGCACATACGAAGGCTGTGTAATGATAATTGCCAACTACCTTCAGCTGTTCCTCAGTGCTTTTCTTCAAAGCCTCTTCAAATCGGTCTGCTTTGGCCTTCAGGGACTGGTTCTGGAAGGTGAAGGTGTCTATCTGGTCCTGCAGGGGAGGAGAAATGATCACATCACCATGTCTTCAATCACCCCTCTCGCATCCACACAAGCCAATCTGCACTGTGCAACCAGCAGGGGAGCTAACCAAGGCTCAGAAACCACTGCCAGGTGAGCTTTTTATGTAAGGTCACTTGAATGTACAGTGGGGTTTTCCTAACGAAGTGCCTTGGGCAGGCCTGAGATCCCTGCAATGCCTGCAGCTGGATGACAATGGCTGGCATTGCTCCATTACATGTCTTCAATGCTAAATCACCCTGTCACCTTGGGATGAATCAGAACAACCACACCTGCCTTGAGACAGCTGGCATTTACACTGCAGGCATGAAAGAGATCTGTTGTGCAGTTCTTACAGTCTGAATGGGGTGGAGGAGATGCCCATCGTGCTTCCTTCACCTTTATAGGCCACATTCCAGCCTACTTAGGGGCTTCTGGTACGATAATAAGCAACGGTGAGTTAGCAGAGTAGGCTTTGAGTGACATCTCAGAGCTATCTACAGGAACAATGTGCTATTTTAAGCAGTCTCATTTCTGTTCCCACTAAAGGTACTCCTGCGCCTTCTGTACAGCCCACTCCTGTAAAAGCTGCAGTTGCTGTGAGGTCACATTTTATATTTTGTGTTTGTCATTTCTCAGTTGTATCACTGCATCAGTGCCTACTGCAGAATAGGCTGGAGCTGTAAAAGCTGCATGAGGTGTGACAAGTGCTGCATGTAACAATACACACCAGCTGGGGTTTTTCTAACTCATAATTAATCTCAGCCTAGACAATCAAACAGAGCTGGCACTATGTACTCAGGCATCTTGTTCACACGGTTTCCAAAGTTAACACAAACCCTAGCTGCATTTTCCTCCCTGTAGGTTTGCCTGCTTTTCTCTTCCAGACGCAGCATATTTGGAATCAGCCAAAACAGTGAGAAAAGCCCAAGGGACACCTTGGCTGCTCATCTCACTTTGGACAGGTGGAGCAGAAGAGGCCTTTAGAGAAGATGAGGTATCCCTGGCACACGGGTTCTTGTGCTGAAGGGATGGATAGGGACAAAGGGGAGCAGTGCCTTCCCAATGGGCACCACAAAATACAGCTGGTAAGATTCAAGGGCCCATGTGCTCTGCAACAGCACTGCAGGGTGGGAAATAACAGAACTGCTAACCTGGAGCGACAGCCGCAGCTTTTCAAAATTTTCCTTTAATTGTGTTTTCTCCAGTTCGTGAGCAGCAACCAGTTCTGGGGAAGACACACACAGACACAACATGGCTAAGTGAAGTCCAGCAAAGCGGGGTCTGAGAGCACAGAGACTGGGAGCCAAGCACCGCCTGGAAAGCAGTTTTAGGGCATGGAATTGAGGAGGAAATCAGCAGTAACACACCACAGGATTCTGGGAAAACTGTTTTGAGGATCAACATTTCTCAGTTTTTCAGTGGTATCTCTATGCCTCTGTGGCTGAATGTGGATTTTTCAGATTTGTCAGCTTCCAGGGGCTGTAATCTGAAAAAGTTTGGTATAAAAATGGGCAACTGACCTCTTCAGAGTGAGTATCCCAAGCCGAGGGATTTGAAATTAGGTACATTTGCAAATTTGGATGGCAGTTGCTTTGGGGAGATAAAACAGGGAGACAGCAACTTGGATGCAAAAAGGCAAGTCCTGGTGCTTCTCCAGGAGCTGTGGAGGATCTGTAAGGTGTAATGACACTATCAGATCCTGGAGACAAAAACTCCTCTGTTTATATCACACGACTAAGGGTTTCACTACTAGAAAAGTCACCTTGGACTGATTAATAACTAAAAGTTAATAAACAAAGTGGAATAGTTTAGCCTCCAAACCAACGGCATGAAACTGGCACTGGGCACTCAATACTCGGCGTTCAGTACTACCTTTTTAGTACACGGACAACCTATTCTGTACCTGCGCTCCCAGCCCGCGGGGCTGTGCTCTCTAAGCATCCCTTCCTGATAGCACCAGTGCTGCTCTCCGAGGCTCTGCGCAGCGGCTGCAGTACAGCTTGCGGGCACAGGAGGGCATCTCGCACCCACGGCAGGAGCAGGAGCTCACGCTTTGGCCTTAACCATCCCCAACTTTTGTCATCAGAAAACACTAGCAAAAACACAGAGATAAGCGCATCCTTAAGCAAGGAATAGCTTTTAAACACTGACACCGAGAGCTGTTCAGTAAGCTCCAGCATCCCGAGTGCCCAAGGGTTGGGTTCAGAGACCCAGGATCTTCAGAAAAAGTCTGTTGGTGAGGTGAGGTGGCATCTGGACTCAGTAACCCATGGAGAAAGTCTTGTCTTTGTCCCAGAGATCATACAGACACTCTCAGGTGCAAGCTGAATGCTGTATGCATTGCGTATGGCTCTCCCTCATCTGACATCGAAAGACAGAATCATGGAATCACAGAATGGGTCAGTTTGGAAGGGACCTTACTGTCCCTTACTGCCCAGTTCTAATCCTTGCCTTGGGATACCTCGTGCCCTGGCCTCGAATGCCTCCAAGGATGGGGCACTCACAGATCTCTGGGCATCCTATGCCAGGGCCTCGCTGCCCTCTGAGTGAAAGATTTTCCCCAGCATCTAAACTAAATCTCCCATCTTTTAGTTTAAAGCCATTCCCCCTTGTCCTATCACAAACCTATCACACAACACAGACCAACACAGCTTTTCTGTATCAGCTCCTCTGCGGAAAGACACTCCAGGCTTACACAGATGCATTACACAGATGCAGGGCTATTTCCTGCTCTGGGATAACCATTAGGTTGTCCTTGGCTTACCTCGGATCTCACGGTTGTGCTCATCCTGCAGTACAGCAAGGGTGACGGAGTGGTTGTTTTCCAGCTGTAATACTGAAGCTTGGTGGACAGCTGTGATGTCAGACACCTGTTCAGTGACAGCAGGTGGAAACAGGGGCACACGGTTAGACGTGCTGCAGCACACTGACAAGCCACTGTTAGACAGCTGCAGTGAGCTGGAAACAGCAAAGGGATCTACTGAGTGTGACACCCTCTGTACATGAGCCAGGCTAATTCATTACGGAAGAGGCACGTTACCTCCTGGAGTGTCAGCATTACCTCCACTGCTGCTCGTCGCTTTTCTCTTTCAATTTTAAAGTGATAAATGAGGCACATAAGAAAGCACAAAGCAAAAATGTGAAAAAAGGGTATGTTCAAAAATCTCAACATTCAATTAATCTAAATTGTATGCATTGCCTGGCTTCCTCTGATGGTCAGATAAACTTGCACAGTTCAGAGTAATCCTATTTTTGTGGCGCTGTACTGCAATGAGTTTAATTGCACAGTCTTGAGTTATCTTCCACGGAAAGTGCCTATGAATTATTCATAGTTGTAAAATATTCATTTCTAGAGAAACATTGAACTTATCATCAGCAGGTTTAAAAAATGAATCACGATCTATCTCACTTCTACTTGAAAATGAGCATCCTACAAAGCCATCAATATGCAAGTTCCAAACTCCTCCTGAATCCTGTTCTTTGAGTCCACATCCAATAAACTGATGAAAGACATGACAGCACCTGCTCTGATCTGCAGAAATTCCTTCTTCACTTCTAACCTGACATTGAGTGAGGAAGACCCACAGATTGAGCTGTTGAGGGGTTTCCAGTACCAGCAAAAGCTCCCTGCGTTCTGTCCTGCAGCCTGCTCCTACCCCCAGTCCAGCTCCGCAGTTCATAGGAAACAAAATGCTTTATGAATCAGGGAAGTATGTAAAAGTCCCCTGGTTTCTGACTGATCCCTGCAAACAACTGGCAGCGAAGAGCCTTGCAAAGTTTGCTGACTATGAGGCAAACACAGCACAACCTGGAACAGCAGCTTCTCTGTTCTCAGTCTGAGCTGAAGAACAGTCCTGCCTCCTTGTCTACACAAAGCTCAGCCCCACAGCAGCACAATTCAGCAGCAATGTCCGTGTGGCTAACCAAACATGGCCCACCTGCATTACCTCTGTTCAACTTATGGCCGTATTTCTAGAAGGGATTCACTCTGAAGAGAGACCCAAAATCAAGGCTTGCAAACAAACTCCCCGCCAAGCAGCTCAATGACCTAAGGTCTGAAGTTCAAACTTCACTCACTGGGCTCTTTTATTCAGCAGCCATCCAAGTTGGAACAAAATGGGACTTCCAGCTCTGTAAAGATGGCCATTGGAATGACATCAGAAAAGCCCTAGAGTCCACCCCCAATTCCTTAGGGTTTCAAGTATTCATCAGAGCAGCTCTGAGTGTTACCATCGATGACCTGATGTGCTTTTCCAGGTTTGGTAATCACAGTGATCTCATTCCCTATACACACTGTCTGTGGTATCTGCACACTGTCTGTGATATCTGGCAATGCGCAAAATCGAGCTGTTTAATTGTTACAAAGAATCAGCTGTTCATTGCAAAGTCACTTCGCCTCACACAACATCTTTGTCCACTGTTACACTGGTAGATACTGCAGCCAAGCACATCTCCACTGAAATAAATGTTATTTCACTGTGTTTATCTGTCAAACATATGTATTAGATCACCCAACAGGAGCAATATTTCGTATCAGATTGGATAACATTATCTCTTAGAATGAAAAACAGGCATTAAACATGGAATTTAAAATCATACAAATCCATTTTCTTAAAACTGCAGGAGGCAACTAAGAGGTGAAGAACCGTTCACAGAACAACATGGAACTCAGCTTGTTGATGTACTGCATGGGAGAGCAGGGCAATGGGGGTTAGATGACCCAGTGGGCTACTATTGGGATGCGAAATATCACTTGATTTCTCCCAGTCTGCATGCCTCGTGTGAGCACTGCCACATTCTTTAACCCACCCTTACTTAAGTCTTTACTCATGCTCTAATTGCTGCTCAGCTCGGCAGCATCCCATAGGAAAAATTAAGATCAATTCCAACATCCTCAGAGGGTAAAAGGGTCTCCTTTCTCTGCCACAATCCTTGTCAGGTTATTTATCTATAAGGCCAATTAAATATGCTCCAGTTTTCAAATGGTATCCAGGGCTTTTTCTGTTTCTGAATGCTTTATATTCCCATCCCAAATGACTCCTTTTAACCTTCTCGTGTGACCTCTAGTCTGCAGTTTTCATGGCAGATTGTCTACTTGGCAGCTGGAACCAGATCTTTGGGATCACATTCCAACCCTGCTACTAACTTACTTTGTAAACTTGATCAACTCACTTAAATCCTGTGTCACAGTTACTTCTGGCTATAAAAAGAAGTTCATATGGGATTTTTAAGGATTAATAAGCCAAAGGGAAGAAGAGGATCTAGTATGAGTTCAGCGGGCTGGAAGACAAAGCAGTTTGAGCTGAACTGCTCAAGAAACACTGGCAAGTCAGGACCATGGATTTATAATTTTGCACTTAGTTGCAATGAACATAGAAACACTGGCCTGCATTGTCACACCTGATCATTGCTCACCAGCATTAAGGCTGAATGATTCCAGTCCCTTGCTGGCTGTGTTCTGTGGCATGCTCAGAGCCAAGTGCTTCCCCTCTCCAGAGCATCATCTCTCTAAGCTGAGCAGAGGATGAAAAACCACAGATAACAAGCCCTTTGGGTGTGAGGCTCTTATGCTTAGTTCTTAGGCAACTTGGTTCAGAGGCTAACACAGCTCCCCCAGTTCTCCTTGTCCTGTTCCATGGCAAGAGGCCAAAAAAAGTCACTGGTGAGCAGCTTTTCAGCCAGCTTCTGATAGCAACGAACACAGGATGGGTGTACAGCTGAGTATGAGTCAGGAGGGAAAAACTACCAGCACTCATCATGAGATGCTGGAAGAACCGTGGATTGAAAAGACAGAGTTACCAGGCTCACAACAGAGGTTCTGAAGCAACAGAGAGAAAAGTTTGCTCTACTTCCTGTAATTCTGGGAACTAAGAGTTCTCTAGCAAACCAAAGGATTGGAGGAGGGAGAACTACTTGCCCCACTAACGGGAAGATGCACCTCCACTGTTTCAGTGTGGTGATTAATAGCACTGCAACAGACGAGGACGTGAGAAATCTAAGTATATTGGTAGTCCAGTGACCTGTGTAACCCACGCTGCAGCGATCAGCCTGAGGGGAATAAAGTCACCATCCACCCTGCTGTCTTTGGAGCTTGGAGAAGCACTTCAAAGAGAAGCAGAGATAAGTCATCAGCTCTCCTAGCAAAAAATTAACTTGCAGAACAAATTCCTTCACAAATGCTAATGCCTGATGATCCAGGAGGGGCAAGGCTTGCAGCTAGAGCTGGTATCTCTTTCAAGACAAGCTGGCACACTTAACACAGGGAGGAGGATAAAAAAGCCAAAGCTTTTGGGAATGCCACCCACTCCTTTATCACATAACCCAAAGCAGAAAATTTGAGGGGCTTTGTAAGAAAAATGTTCTGTCATAAACTAAAATGAGAACCAAGAGACACAGTTCAAGAACAGACACTATGCAGTACCAGAGAAAGACTGTGAAAACTCTAGGGTAGAGCAGAATAAACTATTTTACAACATCTTCCCAAGCATCTTTAAAAATCAATGCAGCAACAGAAAAAAGGCAGTTTGCCTGGGACAAAAGAGCTTGGTCACATAAAGCCTTTGTATTGCACTTTACAAGCCCTGCAAATCAATAACAGCTAACAGGCACAGCAATTAAAATGGGTAAAATCCAGAGAGAGAGCTTCACCCTCCCCCAGATCTTTACATGGAAAAAGAAGAAACATCCCCATAAAAATATTTTTGCTGGAATCAGCTGTCAAAGATTATGGGTCCATTGATAGCAGAGTAAACAAACAAGAAGCAAGCTGGCAGCTTGTGGTGGGAGACCTGGGGAGGGGAGGTTCTGCCAACAGCTCCCTTTTGAGGGAAGGCTACGAAGGAGCCCGTAACACTGCTCTACTGCACAGGGCCCAGTGGCACACAGTGTTCTTGTCCCCTCTGCCTGCACGGTGGCTCCTGGGGTGGCAGGGGCACAGGCTGGGATGCAGTGTGTCTATCTGACATGGCTGGCTGAGCGGTGTACCTTAACACTGGCATTATGCTGTAAACACAGTACAAGAGACATAGAATTGTCATAATCTCAGTTTGTATTTTCACTTCTGTCTCAGGAGTTTTACAGGGCATAAATGGGGTCATTTCCCTTTTTATAAATGTCTGAGCTTAAAAACTGTGGACTGTAGCCTCTGCTGTGCCCCAACCTACTGTTCTCATAGAATCACAGGATCATTACAGAATCACACAATGGTCAGGGTTGGAAGGGACCTCAAGGATCATGAATCTCCAACCCCTCTGCCACATGCAGGGCCACCAACCTCCATGTTTAATGCTAGACCAGGCTGCCCAGGGCCCCATCCAATCTGGCCTTGAACACCTCCAGGGACGGGGCATCCACAACCTTTCTGGGCAGCCTGTTCCAGCACCTCACCATCTCTCTGTAAAGAATTCCCCCTGACATCCAACCTAAATCTCCCCTTCCTCAACTTAAAATCATTTCCCCTTGTCCTGCAGTTATCAACCCTTTCAAAGAGTTGATTTCCCTCCTGTTTGTAGGCTCTCTTTAGGTATTGAAAGGCTGCAATGAGGTCACCCCACAGCCTTCTTTTCTCCAGGCTGAACAAGCCCAGCTCCCTCAGCCTGTCTTCATAGGGGAGGTGCTCCAGTCCCCTGATCATCTTCATGGCCCTTCTCTGACCCTCTCCAACAGCTCTCTGTCATTTTTGTACTGGGAGCTCCACACTTGGACACAGTACTCCAGATGGGGCCTCACAAGAGCAGAGTAGAGGGGGACAATCACCTCCCTGTCCGTGCTGGACACCCCTCTTCTGATGGAGTCCAGCGTACCGTTTGCCATTCATTCCAGCCATTAAAAGTAAGACTAAAGTAAGTGTATGCGGGAGCCTTCCTCCCTACCTATATAAAAATTGCAATGCAAGGAGAAATGTTTGTTTTGTACAATCTAAAAGACTAGTCCGAATGGTGGAGAAGAAATCAGGGAACCTAGAGTGTATCACCCACTTGGTATTTAGGTTATGCGTTACATGGATCCCACCACTTCACTGTATCAGCAGTGGCATTTGAAAGAATGAGGGACTGGGTTCTACTGGCATTACTTCTGCATAACAGGTTCTTGCTCAACCATTGGTTTCATATAAATTGACTAGAATAGGAGGGATGGGGAACAAGTAGGTGTGGGGAGCAAAGCTAGTATAATTATTTATGTTAGTTGTAAAACATCAGGAAGCATGTTAAGAAAACACATGGCAATGTAACATACTGAACTATACTATACTGAAATGCCATTAAGAACAATAGGAGGGCAATGCCATAAAGATAATCTGGAATACATTTTTCTAGTCATCAGTCATCTTTACCAGTGTCTTCATGTTTGAGATTGCCTGTGTTTCATTACCTGAAACCACTCAGAACAGAGATGGTCTGCTTTTCTGAATCAAACAGGCTAGAACTGACCTGGTGCAGATGCTGAGACTTGATGAGATCCAGCTGCAGCTTGTGCTGCTCCTGCAGGCTCTCCATCCTGGCGCTGTAATCCTCATGTAAACGCTGCTCCAGAACCTGCAGCTCCTCCTTCTGCTGCCAGCGAAGCTTTCTCACCTCCTCCTCTAAGCGCCTCTCCAGATCCTCCTTCTCATTTTGTAATTTCTTACATTTCGCTGTGTTGATGGCTGAGGACACAAAAATAAGTATACAGTCAGGCTCTGAGCTCCTTGGGAGCAAGGGTGGCATCAACTCTGTAAATCACTGAGCACAGTGGTTCTTGCCAACACTGGGACTCTCCAGAATCCCAATTGTGAACAGGCTCACACTCTCCTCTGTCTTCCTCCCTTTAACACACATACACAGGAGTATTTATTTGAACAGAGGCATTGGCAGAATCCTGCAAATGCCCACACAAAACTGGGGCCTGGAATAATACGAAAACAAGGAATTTCATGGACCTCCATTCTGTTGCACGGATGTCCCCTTTCTGGCCAGCACAGTCTTGGACTAAAAAATCAAGTCTTTAGGGCATCTGCTTTGTCTTGGATGGTAAAGACAGCACATGTGACAATCACACTTGACACAAGGGTCTTTCATGTGGGAGAAGAGATTTTCCTTATCTCCTTTTCTCAAGTCATAGTCTTGGCCATAGTCCCACTTACAACAACATACCAGGGAAGCAGAAGACCTACGGGTTCTTGAGTTGCATCCTATGCATATGTTATTTTCCATCTGTTGGAAGCTGTTCACCCCACAGGCCTGTTTCTTATACCACCTCCAACAAGGATGTCTTAAAACCATTAGTGCCCACTATTGTTATATTCAAACAACTATCTGGTGCGCTCCATGGAACCAGAGAGCACCCAGGACAGGCTACTATTGAGGGCAATCAGAAAGTGTACATGTTTTACTCTTGTGTACTAACCCAGTGGCAATGTCTCTAAATCCATGAGCATGTCTACAACTTGTTTCAGAAGGTGCAACTCTAGCATTCCACTGAGTCAAGAATGCTTCAATCTGTTTCCCCGTTAGGTTCCTCCTCTGTATTGTTCCTGGCTCCCAGGGCAGCAGTGTCACAGAGTACTCTGCAGCTTTTACTATGCCACCAAATAGTTGCAGTCACTTCAGACACTGAATTGACACTGAAGGCTTGATACCAATTAAATCAAAGAGCTATTGGGAAAGAAGTGATTAAAATTATCATGGTGATAACACTCAGAACACCACCACAGAAAAGGTGTGTTTTAGATGGCACTGAAAGTCCTTCTTTCTGATTTAGGTCCATAGCTGGTTTAGAAAAATACTGAGCTTTTGAATATACTGTGTCAGATGCTTATCCTTCCTTTGCCCTTCAAAATGCACAGACACATATGGCCTTGTAAGTCAGCACAGTGGAAGAAGCTGCCTCCGAAGCTGCAGACAACTTCAGAATGTTTCAAAACCATTACACTGATGGACATTTTATGTTTCCTGGAAGCAGAAAATCATGTCCTTCCTGTCTTTTTCTACTATGGCGTCAGACTAAGCTCTAGTCTGCTTTGGTGAGGTCTCACCTCATGTCCTGTATACAGTTTTGGGCACCACAACACAAGAGGGATATCAAACTGTTAGCATTCACAGGAAGGCTACAGAGATGGGGAAGGGTCAGGAGGGCAAGGTGTGTGAAGGGAGGCTGAGGCCCCTGGTTCAGCACAGAGCAGGGCAAGCTGAGGGGAGGCCTGATGGCGGCTGCAGCTCCTCACAGGGAGCGGAGGGCAGCGCTGAGCTCTGCTCTGTGTGACAGCGACAGGGAACGGCATGGAGCTGCGGCAGGGGAGGGCGGCTGGGGGTGAGGGAAAGGGGCTGCGCCAGAGGGCGGTGGGCACGGAACAGCTGCCCAGGGCTGTGGGCACGGCCTTGAGGTGCTGGAGCTCAGGGAGCGTTTGGAAGCGCTCTCAGGCATTGGGATTGGATTTGGGGTTGTTTTTTGGAGCCAGAAATTGGACGTGGTGATCCTTGTGGGTCCCTTTCAGTGTGAGATATTCTGTTAAACACGTTTTATTTCAATTTCCCTAATTGGCCAACTGCCATGAGCACAGACCAAGTTAGATGTGTGTCCATGCATGTGTGTCCATGCAATGTATTTATCCATCTAAGCAATATCCAAACTTGCTCACTATGTCTATACTGTAGATAGATACTGCTGCTTTGGTCCTATTCTGATCCTGATGTTTTCTGAAGCATTAAATGGACACTGTGCCCCTTTCAGGCTCTCTGCTCCCTACAGAAAGTGAGGCTGTATCAGGGAGTTCAGCACTGCAGCAATGCCACATAGAAAGCTTTCCCACCTACCTCATACCACAGCAGGATTTATATGGTCATGAAACGTCCTGTCTCTGTGGTTTGGCTTATAGCTGTAAACTCCATCCCTTGCTGCAACAGTTTCTCTTGGTGTGCAAAGCTACCAAAGAGCCCGCAGCTCTGGATTCAGAATAATTGAAACTTACTCATGCTTTAAATTGGAGCTGCAATGAAACCCTTCTCTTCGTAGCCTCTCTAATGAGATTACCCAGCACACAGGGAGGGCAGGCAATGAAGTGACATGTTTTAACCAAAAGAAAGTCAATCTGTAACACTTCCCAGAACATGAAACTCCTTCCACACCGCCTAAAACACAAAAGTGCTCATGCTTTTCAGATCAAACCCTGATGCAGGTGCAAAATGGAGGCAAGAGGGCAAGTGTGTCTGCACACACTGAGGGAGAGGGAGATGTCACTGATGGTCCAAATCCTCTGCAGAAAACCAGAGCTGGAGCCGAGCCTCTTTGCATTGCAGGGTCAACCCATGGGAACTGGGAGCTGTCATATGTACAGGGTTTGCCTGCTCGTGAGAAATGGGTGCTGCATCCAACAGCAAAAACAAACTGTGTAGCCTGCACCCTTACTTCTGACCCTTAGCCACAGAACCGCAGACAAATCACAGAAGCCCTTGTTTGAGTTCAGTCTCCTCTGATCGGGAGGCACATCCAGAAGGAGCTGGCACTCCGGTTTCAAGTTCTTGCAAATTCACAGTGCAAATTTTAAACCTGACATCTGATTGTCTTACATTCGTACAGGCATTTATGCACCTCCACACCCCTCAGCTCACTTCACACGTCATTTATCTGACAGCAAAGGGACATGCAACTCTGACATTTAATTTCCACTAGTGCGAGGGGAAACAGAAGGTGTTCAACACTTCTTTTTTTTCCAGGAGTCTCAGTGTTACATCTGAAAAGTGCTTATATGTATATATAATATATATATAATTTATAAAGATGGGTGTCTTGAGGGTATAACGATTGCTTGTAGTGTTTTTCTAGCCTTGTTATTTCTAGCAAAATACACGAGCAAACCTTTTTGTATAAAATAACAAGTTCCTTGGTGCTTACAAAGCTGTGGATGCACACATTCTTCTCCAAGCTGAGAAGCAGCACTTTTCTATTTCATTGCATGATGAGGTGTGTGACTCCACAACAATGCTAGAGGTAAAGGTGGAGGGTGTGACCCAAACCTAACCATCCTGCCTGGGTCCAGAACGGTACAGCCCATAACAGACAGTGTTTTACACACATGGGTGTCTCCGATTCCCTGGGGCATCTCAAGCAGCACTGAACATCTATTTCTGGCCTAGATCTACACTGCCTAAGATGGGACTAGATACCCAACTCGCATGTAGACATTTAAAATAAGGTGAATAATTGCAATTAGAGAGACAGTCCTGGACAATGGCCTGTCAAAGCTGGACCACCCTCCCTGAGTGTTGCTCTCTCTTCATTGACAGAGAACCTGAAGAATCAGCCTGCACCACACGTGCAATGTTACACTATCTGAATTAGAGCTATCATCTTTACAACCAAACATTAGACCAACCACCTGTACCAATCTTGACTACTCTAGCCTAGTTTTACTGATTCATCCAGACATTTGCAGTCTTACTTACATGGCAAACATGTACATGAGAAATCCAGAATTTTTGACCACTGCTCAAGCTGTTCATCTGGGCTGATAACTTTCAAAGTAATGAGAGTCTGCTTATCAAAGTGTCTGAGACAAGTCAGAACTACTACTTGGCTGTAGTCAAAACAACTAAGTTACTGGTTCACTCTGTACTTTTCCCCTAAATGTTAACTTCAACTGCCTATGATTGCTGATGTTAAGTGACTGTTTTATTCTTTATTTCCATAAAGCTTGGCACAATAGGTAGAATTTTGTACAGCATAAAGATTCATCTGAGAATGAGAACAGCATAACTCTCATATTACGCAGGTGGGATATACATCTCCACTAGCATCCAAAGCTTGCACTGCTTTAGAGACAGCAAAGAACTGACAAGAACTGATCTCACGCATGGCATTGGTTACTGCACCTAGCTTGCAGATTCAAAACACAGTTGGTGTCACACCACCAATTACAAAAGTAAGGGAACAAATTGATCCTCTGCTCCCTGCTGTAAATCCAACGGAGAACGTGAGCAAATCCAAGAGACAGGGCTTCCAAATGAGAAGTGGATATACAACAGAGAGCTTCAGATGTGCCCTTCCTAAGCACGTGTAGAAGCAGCTCCTCTGTGAGAGTGAAGAGTGATGCTGAGGATGGATGAAGTCAAATAACAGGATGAAACTGTAAATAATATTTTGCTATTGCCGCAGCATCCTTCGGCAACGGGGACAAAACTCTCTCTCTGAAATGGCAATCAGCCAAAATATTTCAGAGGGAGCACAAGCAGCTGAGCATCGGAAAAGGGTTGTGCCGAGCTTTTCTGCAATGAGACACCAGAGGCAAAGCAAAGGCAAAGCACAGCCCTCCCTGTTGAGAAGGATCTACATCCCTGTCTCCCTCAAGGAGAGGCAGAGCGACTCTGGGCTCACCAAGTTCCACATGACACAATTCCATAAAATCATCTGAGTTGGAAGAGAACTTTAAAGGTCATCTAGTCCAACTGTCTGCAATAAACAGGAATAATAAACAGCTCCATCAGGTGCTCAAAGCTCCACCCAGCCTGGCCTTGAATGTCTCTAGGGATGGGGTATCCACCACCTCTGGGCAACTTCTTCCTTGTATTCAATCTAAATCTCCCCTCTTTTTTTTTGTTTGAAACCATTTCTCCTTGTCCTCTCACAACAGCCCATGCTAAAGAGTCTGTCCCCTTCTTTCTTATAGCTTCCCTTTATATACCGAAGGTCCACTCTCAGGTGGATTTATGAAGAGTCACTTGTTCAGTACAGATAATATACAATCAGTTTCAGTGCATCTTGATGGACTTGTCTGCACCACAAGTACAAAATGAAATCACAGAATCCCCTTGCCTCTGGGTTTCAGAAGACACTTTGTCCCATGTATGCAGGCTACCCAGGATCAAATCACAGGGAATATTGGACTTTGTGTAAACTGAGAGAAACACTTCTGTTGTTATTTTGCTTGTGCTACTTACCGACTTCATCCCTGATCTTTGCAAGCTCAACTCCTAGCTCGTCTATTTTCACAAGAGCATTTTCTTTCTGTTTAAGGGAAAAAAAAGAGAGAGAAATATGTAGTCCCCGGGTTTATCCCAGATAAGCACTTTCACATGTTCACTTAGTAAAGCAGATTAGAATGATTCCTCAGATTTTTGGGGGCGGTGAGGTAGGTAGGGGGGATTATAATAAACTCATTCAGTTTTTCAAGCCTAAAAGCCACCACTCATTGGCCACCACTACTTTGGTTTGGCAGGAATACATATACACAAAGCCATGTGCTCATGACAGCACTGAATACACCAATTACTCCCCTGTGTCTAAAAAGACTTGTCTACTATTTGCTGTTCAGTCTGTGAACCATTCATAGTTGGACAACACAAACAGGATGATACTGTTAATTCTGTTTGAACACTTCCATCTATTTGTGCCTGCATCTACCATAGTAATATGGTAACAAAATAGTATGCTCACGTAGTTGAATTTGCAGAGCAGATTACTGCACTTACACCATTCTAGACACGGTGAGCATACCCTGCACAGAAGACACCTCTCCTGGCATGATGCTCGTGCCTATTTCCACATTTCCTTCAGATTGTTTTATTGACTGCAAAGGATATGAGCTCCTTCCCTTGACCTGTTTCAAAAGAAATCTGAATGCATCTGAATAATGAAGGCATTCAAACAGATGTGCTGGACAAAGGAAAAATAAACGATATCATCATTAAGAATGCTGAATTACTGAGATGTGGGACTCTGATATTAGATATTCCATAAGCGCTGTGTAAACTGACAAAGAAAAGCCTCAGGAAAATCTATAGGAGTTTATTTGTTTAATGCAATAAATCCCAGCATTTGAAATTGGAAAAGTCCTGAATCAGATTAGGGAGAAGGCAAAGGAAAATAGACATACTCCTTTGTGTAGACATGGTGGTCATGTCACTTCTGGCTAGGAAAGCTGGGTGAAGCTGTTATAAATGTGTCCCAGGCTAGAAAAGATAATGAATCTCCAAAGGACAATCTGGAAAAAATCACATCTGAGAAACAAGGCAGTGTAGTAGCAAATGGAATATAAAAGATGGAATGAGCAAACAAGACTAATACAAATCTAATGAAAGTGGAATGAATTCAGAGACTAATGTTTCTCTTTATTTTTCCTGCACTTAACTTCAGCTCTGTTAAGAGGAACACAGAACTGCTTTAATTGTAGAAATACCAGGAAATCCTAACCTGGAATTTGTAGTAATCCTTTACATGGTGCCATTTTGGGGTGACATGTACCATTTCCAAGGAACTTGCTTCCCCGACAATTTTACTGTAAACCAAATGATTGGTGGATCTGATTGGCAGAGCCAGCTCCATACACTGACACTGCTGACTAATGCACAGGGCATCGCCTGCCAGGACTGCAGTCTCCAGACTGCAATAGGCCAAAACAAAAAAAAAAAGCTTTAAAGAACCCAAAAGATCCAGATTAAAATAGCCTGGTATGTGCCCCTTGCACAGATGCAGAAAACAGCATTCTTACAGAGATAACGTTTCCCCTTTTGGAGAGTATCACTGCATCTGCCCACACTGCCCAGTCGCTCCCTTGGAGTCAGGAAGCATTCCTGACAGGCTGCCAGGAGCAGTGCCCTTGGAGGTATGTGCTCAGGGATACATTGGATATGGGGCTCACAGATGGGGAGCACACGCTTAAGTTACCCACTCCCAGAAAGTAAAGCAATTTACAGCAAGGAGGCTCTGAGCCCCATGTAGGTCATTTGCAGCATCTACAGATGAGCAGAACTCAATGGGATTGTTAATATCCTCCTTATGGGCAAAAAATGGGAATTAAAAAAAAAAAAAAGGTATAAATAAATAAATAAATACATGTCCTAGTTAAGAAAAGAAGAGTTTAAACTTTGTTTCTACCTAAGAAATATGACAAACTCCTCACCTGACATTGCCTCAAGGTTTGCCCTACCTCTGAGGATGCCTGGTGATGAATTTCTCTCCAGAAGAGAGAAGTCACCATGGTGCCAGCTGGAAGATGCTGTCCCCACACCCACCTTCTGGCATGAGTGCCATCCCACCCTGTGGAACGCTTGGCAAACACCATGATGTTGGGAAGCAGCTGTGTTGATGCAGCTCAGGTGCTTTGGCTGTCACATACCTCCCCTACCAACACTTCTTGTGCTGCCTTATAGTGCAGTAAGAGCTTCCACATTGCTCTTCCAGACCTCTTTTCCTGTCCCTTGAGACATCAGACATGTGAGGGGTGCCCTCAGCACCAACTTTTATTGTAGTGCAGCTTTCTTGGAGGATTTTTTTTACTGAACAGTGGCATATCAGTTGGACTTGGACTCCATGGTCCTTATGGGTTCCAACTCAGAATATTCAATGATCAGTGCTTATTTTTCTCTTCTGTGAGAGAGGCAAGGAGTACTTGGGCTGATCACTGGATCAGCCTCAAGGTCTCCTGGATGTGCAGCGAAGTCACAAATCCCTGACATTTTCTGTTACTGTAACCTGCTTTGTCAGTGTAACACGATAGGATTGGACTGCAGGCATTCCTGGGACCAGTGTCAACATGACACTAATCCTACACGAAAAAGCCTATCCCTGTTATCACTAGTGGGGCTCAGCACATAACCAGCACACCAGAGCCAGTGCAGCCAGGGCTCTGGGAATGCCAGTTCTTGGGAAACCCAGTATTACCGTAGAGTGAAACTGGATCTGAAGTGACAACGAAAAGCTATCAGATCCAATGTGGAGATTCATAGGGGTTCAACCTCAAAACACCAAAACAATCAGAAAATCCCCATGCACACAAGGTCAAGTCCACCAAAACAAATGTGCAAGACTCAAAATTAACAGGATATCCTATTGAATTAATCAACGTTCATTATGTTTATGGCAAATGAGTACTTGAAAGAGAAGGCAGCGCAAGCAGGAACCTTTCTGCCCTCCCGTGGGTTTGTGCCCCATGGGCTCAGCAGACCCATAGAGCTCTGCAGCCTCCCCTCACTCGGACACTGCTTGGAGTAGAGCTGCTCAGAGGGACTGAGAGCCAGGTCCAACCCAGGGCTTCATGGCTCAGCTGCCACCTCAGGGCCATGGCTGGTTCCAGCAAGTGAAAAGACTACAGACACTATGAGGAGACTGCAAGTATCCAGTCCTTCAGTGCAATAGGCAGAAAAAATGGCTATGATCTGAGCCAGGATTTTTTTTCTCTCCTAAATGTGAAAGCAAGACAGTGTTTGTTTGTTTGTTTTTTGTTTTTAACAAAGCAAAAACATTGCTTTTATTTTTAAATACTTTTAATGAAGGACAATTTTAATTATTGCTTGGAAGACTTAGGAGAAAGATCTTTCATTGGCTGCATCCCAAGAAATGACTCTGAGACTGATGTACATCTCATGAACTAAAATCATGCTCCTGATGGAGATGAAGGAAGTTGGCATCATACCTAACACAATGGTTAAGTCTTGTGTCTGGAATATGTCCCATCTCCTCAGCCAGAAGGAAATGCAGAACAAAACAGGTAGAATGGTATGTTAGCTCTGTGCTAATGCTCTGTTGAATAAAAGCTGCGGTAACATCTCTTTTTCCTATCATAAACCTTAAAATATGCAGACTTCCCAGCATTTCTCCTGTGAAAGACTCAGCAACACTGCAGCAAGTAAACCAGACACTCAATGTGGTACTTATGTACTTCCAATTCAATTTGAAACTTCCTGAAGTCCCTGAAGGACAGACAGAAGCAGCAGATTGGTGCAGCTCATGGAAAGTGGGCAGGCAGGCAGGGGGAGGAGTGTGACAGCTTTCCAATTAGTGACAGCAGCCATAAAGTTAGCAGTGTAGTTCTGAAAATAAAAATTAAACACAGCAATAAGCAATACTAAGTCTGCTTCACAAATGACACAGGTTAGGCCAGGAGGATCAGAAAACTGCCCAGAGCCATGCACCAAGTCACCTGCAGCAGGGAAAGCGACCAGAGCAGTGGGAGTCACAGCCACAAATGGACAAGTTCCTCCTCCCTGATGACTAATAATGCACTTGCAGTATGCTGCATCCTAAGGTCTGAGTACACGTACAGACTGTCTGCAAACATTTCCTAATGCTCTGCACTGCCACCTAAAAATATGCATTGCACACAGATGCTCTGTGGTACTGCACTGGTTATTAACATTGCTCCTTCAGAACAGTTTTCCTGTATCCAGAGCTTCAAAATAAAAAAAAGATTAAAAAAAAAAAAAAAAGAGAGAGAGACTCTGACCTGCAGAGGGTGCTTAGTCATGGTTGTGCTTTATTCAGAGTTCCCTGGGGGCAGGCCATAAATTATCAGGAGAAAAAAGAGAATATACATTGGGAAACCTGTCATAGCAGTAAATAGTTCAGCTGATACTTGCAGGAGCAAAGACTGCTGCCCACTGTGACTCATGTGCACAATGACCTACAGCCTTTCCTCCATCAGGGGGGCAGCAGTAATCCTCCTCCATCATTTCCTTTTGCCCAAAGTTCACAGGTGGAGCTGACCACCGGGACAGCCCCCAGTGAGTGCACTTCCACAAGCTCCACATTAAGCCTGACACTGTCCTTAACTCCTTTTAAACACGTTACTAGGTAAAAGGGGACATCATCAGCTTTTCAATTGACTGACGATGAGTATCTTAAAACTCCAAACTAATGAAGTCCACTGCACAAGCACATGTTTTTGCCAAGAAAGCTGCTATTAAGTAAATTAAATGCATACGCTCATCTATAAACTCCAGGCAAAGGCCAAGGAACACAGCACCAAGCACTGCGTTGGCTCTACCTGGCACCAGGCAGCCTCCTGCTACCTGTAGCTGTGTACCTACCTCTGCTCTCTTTCCTGCCCGACTCTTTCCGATGCTCGGGAGTTCGGTCCCGTTAGATCCATCCTGAAAGCAATTTCCAGGGGGTTGGAACTGGCTGATCGTTAAGGTCCCATCCAACCCAAGCCACCGACACGTCGAAAGGAGTGTCAGAGGTAAGCCCTTAGGACAGGTAGGGCCGTCCGATCTCACTTCAAACTTCAC